AGTTAACACTAATACATACTATGCATAGAAATTCATATTGTTGAATTAACTGATAAAACAAATTCATTAATGTTTATACACAAAATGAACTTTATGGAAATTCTGTAAATTGGACATTATATAAAGTGATTCAACATTTGTCCAGAATTTCAATAATGGTGATGAAACTATGTTACATAGAGAAAAACATAATATTGGGACTATGTATTTCCATACTCATGTCGGCACCTCTCCCATCATTTTGGCAATGATTGCCATGCCTACAGAAAAGAAGTCTTTTGGCTGGTGTCAGAAATATTTTAGCATTCAGGTTGCATCTCGTTTCCCAAAGGGCCAAACAGGTGATAATTGCAAGGTAACAGATCTGGACTGTAGACCAGGTAATCCAGAATTTATTGATCACCTCTATCGTGTGCAAGGCTGTGCTCTGACACCAATAAAAATACTTTTATTCTGCAGGCATAGCAATCATTGCCAAAAAGAGAGAATTGTCAATGTGTGGAGAAGAAATACATAGCCCCAATTTGTTTTCTTCCAAAGTAACACACATTGTTCTGCACAATTACTGTAATCTCAGAAGTTGAACTGCCCCACATGTATAGTACAGTACTTCTAAATGAGAAAGAAAATGTGTTTTCAAACATTAAAAATTTGTAATGTTTAATATTTATACACCTACACAGACACACACACACAGAAGTACATTTATTAATGGAAATCCTAAACAATTTTTTTAGAATTTCATAATATATATATATGTAATCATTAATAAAAATTTATGAACAAATTCTTACCAACTTAACTCTATTAACCCATTATATTTGACATTATATCAGTTACTGCTCACAAATTATTTAAATATTTAACTTCATAAACTTTTTTTAAATTACATATCTGAAATTGATCACTGAATTCTTTATTCAGATGATGTTAGTGAGCCACAAAAATAAAATTTTGTGCCTTTACGGAAATTAATGAGAATGAAGTATAAAATTGTAAAATTCAGATTGTTATAAAAATAGCAATCAGATATTGATATTTCAAAATAAGTGTGCAAAAATTAAAGAAAATATAGAGTTTTTCAAATTTTTTACAAAGACTATAGTTTATTTCATATTAAAAATTTTAATTGCAATTTATTTTCAAAAACATATCAAATTATAATTATTCAACATTAATGGTCTGGATCTATTGGCAAAGTTTAACTATACTTTTCTGGGGCATCTTATACATTTGTATTTCTTAATATCCACATAATTCATTAAAAGATTATCCTTTGTTAACTTTTTGGCATAAACACTTTTGACTTAGAGTAAATTTTAAGTTCAAAAATGAATCAGGATACATTTATTTTATTTTCCTTACACTATTGTTAATATAACCATATACAACATATATGTAGCCGAAATTTCATGATGTGATTTAGTGATTTTTCAACAATATAAACAATGATTTGTTTACAATAATAATTGAAGGTTTTTCACATAGTATGAATTTCAAAATCAATATTTTCAAGTAAAAAATACAATTAATATTAACAACCCAATTTTATTATTATTTCTGTCCTGTGGACACTAAGATAGCCTTTTTATCAAGCGTATCATGGGTTTGGTCAGGTCCACAATGGGGCAGCCAGGTAATGAGTGATTTATATTCTGGTATGGAAGATACCAGAATATAAATCACACAGACCTTCCACTCCACTACATGAAAAAACCTGCAACAAAAAAAATGAAGCACTGAATAAAACAAATGCACATTTTTCTACACTTTTTCAACTTTCTGAAAAGTGCTTTACATCAGGGGTGTCCAACCTTTTTGTTTCTCTGGGCCGCATTGGAAGAATTGACGACAAGGAGTTTTGGGCCATAAGTTCATATAATATATACTTGTGACCCAATATACATGTATATTTAAGGATTAACATGTCTAGATTATAATAATAAATATTAAAACTTTATTACAAAAAAGGATATTTAAAAAAATTACTTCTACAGACACTTTCAATTTTTACTTAGAAATAGAAAATTCATTTATTATAAGAGACAAACGAAAATTTATTTGGAAAACACAAATATTTGTTTTATTTGGGTCTCTAATAAAAAGCAACCAAACACCATTTTAAAGTACATTTTTATTCAAGTAATATATTTATAAATAATATGTAGCCAAAGCGCCAAATGATATTTTTTACGTCAAACAAAAAAATAGCCACATTTGGCATTGCGCCAAATGTGCAAATCTTGGCTTTTGCCAAATCTTGCAACGTTGGAAGAAATACTAATTAAAGCTGGAGTTGTGATTCAAAGAATTATAGACCCAAATGAGGGGGAAAGGAGAGAAAGGACAAAAGATAAAGAAGTGAGAACAGTTGGAAAATTAAGGGTCAATATTTGCATAACAGAAGATCTATTTAACCTTTCTCACTACGTCACACTATCGGAACCTGTGACCGGTGCTCTGTGCGTATGTGTTAAAATATCCTGACAAACGTTTTCGAGCGTATTTTAACACATACGCACAGAGCACCGGTCACAGGTTCCGATAGTGTGACGTCATTTTCATCCCGGTGCTGTGGATAGAATAGTTTCTGCATTCTTTCTCACTACTTTTTATCTATTGTCCTTTCTCACCTTTCCCTCCTTTTCCCAAATTTTGGTCTATAATCCTTTGAGTCACAACTCCAGCTTTATTTAGTAATCCTTTCTCATTCACACATCTCCAAGTATTTGAAAATATTTCCTTTTTACTCAAAACAAAAATATGAATAAAGGTTTACGGCTTTGTGAAACTTCTTTTTTGAGTTTATGTAGTTGAAATAAATAAATAATAATAAAATTAAAACAGTTGTCGGTTTTGTTTACACGTTTTTTGGGCCGCATTGGAACTTGCCTTGGGCCGCGGGTTGGACACCCCTGCTCTACATAGTCATTTGAATATTATGAATATAAAAAGATTGGTTATGATGGTAGATGGCTAAGAAGGCTAAGATGTTGGTCTCCTACAGTGGTGATCTGGATTTGGATCTAGGTCAGATTATGAAGAATTTTTAATGGTCTGGATATGCTGAGATTCATCATTTTCCATCCTTTTCCTTGTATTTGATTTTTATGAAAAACATGCCAGAACACCAACAAATTGACCAGAATTACAAAAAAAATGTATACAAAAGCTGTGACATGGATAAGATGTTTTCAGTGTCTGCAATTCTGTATATATTAGTATCATTTTATTTTTAGAAATAAAAAAAAATCACATGTTAAATATTTTACTTCATAACTATAAAAACAGTTTCTAAAATTGAAATCATGAAAAATTGTATTATTATTATGATATAGTTCTGCATAAAATCAAACTTTTTGAGAAATAAACAAGTCTAAATAAAAAAAACTATTACCTTTCAGATTTAAATTTAAAATACTGAATAATATTTTATTGTCATGTCAGAAGTGAAAGTTACTCGTTATTTGTCTTACATAAATTTTTATAAGAGTTTTCTATTGTTTATATTTCACAAAGTAGAAGCTATTTCTTGCAATTTGCTACATTGTCTAGAAAATTTTTGAATATCATAAGCTAAAGTTGGTCTGAATAAAGGTCTTAAAACATTTCTCCTTTACTTAAACTTGGGATTTTTATGTTAACTATATTTTTTCTTCTAAAAAAATCAAATATTTGATTTAATTATTTGATTAAATTTTGATTCAATGGTTGAAAAGATCATTCATTTTGTTTGTAACAAAATGAATGATCTTTTCAACCATTAATTTAAAACATATCCATAAAACAATGTTTATGTAATAAATCACAGGCTAATTAGGTTTTAAACAGAAAAGATATTTACAGTTTAGCTTGTTGTTAGCCAGCTGTAAATGGTTAACATATTAACTGTTCCCTCCAAGTTAGAAATAGTAAATAAAATAAAAAATGATTCTATTTCTTAATGATATCAGGACCATTTAGTAGTATGCAATTGAGTGTCATCCGAGCATTGTTTTGTCATCACTAAGGTTTATAGTAGATTTTCAGCAACAACCAATTAATATTACAGGTTAATTATCTAAATTTTTTCCATCAAGAACACTGCAATAATTTTGTTAAATTTATCATATGTTGTTGAATTTTGAACTTAGTTCTACACAGTAAACTTAACATTTGTTGTCTTCTTAATTGAATATGAAGACTACTGGTGTTACCTTAAATCTGAAAACAAGTCAAAAGTGTAAAAATCACCTAAGGACTAAATGTTAACATAGATCAGTGTTTCTCAACGGGGGCGATATCGCCCCCATGTGGGCATTTTTCCACGTTGAGGGGGCGATTAGTAACAATTTATATTTTGGGGGGCGAAAAACAATTTTATGGGCGATATAGTAAAACATTATATTAAGAATAATTAGATATTTTATTCGTTATATCGTACAATAATTAAACGAATAACATTATACTAGTCACTAGTCTGTTCAATGTAGTACGAATTTGGCTTTAGTCTTGGTCCTCGGCATCGGAATTTTGAAGTGAAGGGGGCGATAATAGGTAACAGTTTTATTGAAGGGGGCGACGATTCGTTAGAAGTTGAGAAACACTGACATAGATGCAGCATACAGACTTTCCCAAATACTTTTAACAGATCAATTAATTTCAGCATTTCTAACTTCAGCTACAAACACTGTACTGCATGAAACTGTAAAATAGAACAGTCTACAATACAAAATTTGTTCAATTGTAGATGGTGTTGTGCATTTAGTCAACAGTATTTTGGCATTTAAATAAAGTCGCCTAACCTCTGTAAATCTTAATTAAACTGGCCTCACAAAATTTAAGAATCTGTAGAATTTTCCCAATTTTCCAGTGTAAATTCAGACATTCAGAATGTTTGAATTATTTATTAGTTTTAAACATTTTATGACTTCATCTTTTCAAATTATATAATAATATAATTGTGTGTGTGTGTGTGTGTGTGTGTGTGTTTCAACATGACGAAACAATAAAAATTATACCTATAGCAGCAATTTTTCTATCTTCAATCCAAACTCCTGTATGAACAGAGGTGCTTGCATTCAAACCAAACTTCTTACATAACCTTATACACCACATTTCTAATTTCTGTATATACCATTTCATACTTTTCCTATTATTAAAATCTCCAAGATATAAAACAGGATAAGCAACTAATTGTCCAGGGCCATGGAAAGTTATTAATCCTCCTCTATTAGTAACCATATAATCTGCTCCCAAACTTCTCAACCTCTTCTCATCATCATCATTATACTCTTTCCTTATCCCAATGGTATAAACAGGTAAATGTTCACATATAAATAAATAATTATTCCTTGAAGTGTTAGTTTTTAACGAATTTAATAATTGCCTACATGCGTGATTTTGTAATTGAAGCGCTTTACCGAAACTAATGCGTCCCAAATCATGTAAAATAACATTAACATTGAACATGTCGTCCTATCGATAATATTCATAGTTTACTCTAGTCTCCGTCAGATGGCGCCACTGTAGTAGCCTTTCATAAATTTCTAAAATAATAATAATAATAATATTTTCTCCAAAAATAAATATTAAGAAGTATTTTAAATTCTATTACATTGGTAATTAAATTAAATTAAAATAATAGAATATTGTAATACCAAGTATTAAAAATAGAATTAATCAGTAATATTTAATTATATAATTTGTATTAATGAATATGTTTATTAAAATATATAATTATGGCAGTTATTAATGACCGAAATGCGTCAATGTCCTTCGAGAGTTTATTAAATAAGAATAACTGAACGAAAAAACTAAAGAAACGAAAAAAAATCTGGTCTTTGTGCGTGTTTCAATTTGATTACATGATTGAATTTTTGTATCCAAACATGGCCAAATATTCTTTTTTTATTTAAAATAATAATGTATGAGTGCACGTAGACAACCAAGACATTGCCAGCCTTTTCGTTTGAAAATGGGGAAAGAACTGTCAAAGTAATTACAGGAGGAAATTAAAGAATTTTTGGCATCTTTCAGCAAGGTCCACAACGGGGTGGCTGGATAGTGAAGGAGGAGCCGTCATATCAGAACGGACTATCCCTGGAAAAAATCTAGNCGTCAAAGATAAGAGAACCGATTGAATTCTTTTTCTTTGCTGTAATCGCTTAACGCAATGAACATGTTAACTCTAAATCCTAATTATGGTGAAGGAAAGTAATTAATTAATTTGCTGAAAACTGTTAATAATTAAATTTAAAAAACTATTTAAAAATTTTGGAGGAGCCGTCATATCAGAACGGACTATCCCTGGAAAAAATCTAGCTTTATGGAAGATTACACTCACCATCATCACAACTTGATGAAAAGGTCCTCTTAATGCCCACAGGTGAGAAAGAGTAAAAAAATCGGGATTTTTATGTTAACTATATTTTTTATATAAAAGTAGTCATTTTAAAGTTCATACTACATGATAAACCTGCAATTATTCTTGTATACAAATCTTATATATTGTTGAAAAATCACTAAATCACAATTCTTTTCTTTTCAAAAATTATAAAATTATATAAAGTATCGATTCATAAATCTAATATTTGGATAATCGAATGGCAATGGCGATAAATGTATTAGTTGTTCTCGCTTCTTACACTGGGATTCGAGTCTGGGTCTACTCAAGTAAGTAATATTCTTGAGTGGATTAACTAGAATGTGTCGGGTTCAATTTCTTATATTCTTCTGCTCCACTGTATGTCTGGTCGAATCCAAATGGGTAAATTACAAAGATCCTCTTTAGTGGTTGCAGGACGAAAAGAGTCAAAAATGGGGAGGGAACGATCACAAGAAGACATTTTGCAATGGATTAAAATATTTAGTAAATAACATTATATAACTGGAATTTTTCATTGGAATTTTCCTGAAATTTGCTTTCATTTATTTTTTCTACGTTCGTTATTCGTTAATATATAGCACTATTTGCCAAACTTTTAACATCTGAGCACCCACCCCTTCCAGTGACGTGTTATTCTACGAGGACAAAAAGGACAATTGTCTGGGACTCCCACCAACAGAGGACTCCACACCAATCTCACAAACTCATTACTATACTAAGAATATCGAAATTTAAATTTAGGCCCTATCTGGGGACCATAGATTGCTGGTGTTGTAATTACAAACGGAGAGTGCGCAGAGGTTGCGTTAAAAAATGGACGAGGATACAGTAGAGCAGCGCTGTCCACTTATCATAGCCCGCGGGCCATATTTTCTTCACCAAACATTTCGGGGGCCAAGAAAGTTGATAAACCACATGACATTTGCATAGTGCTACGATTCAGTAAGCACTAATTGNTAACATCGTATTGTAAACAAACTAAAAAGCCAGCATTATGTTCAATTTTTCTATGAAATACATTATATTATAATAAATTTAAATTCAAATAAACACATTATTCTGGCAATAAATAGAAGATCGAATTCAATTTTCATCCAATTTTTACTTGTTTTTTTTAGTCGTGAAATGAATTTTTTCTATAGATCAGTGTATTCCCAAAGTATGGTACGCGCATTCCCGGAGGTGCGTGAAAGGTCTTTGGGAGTACTTGCAATTTTTGGTTATGTGCAGTACCTACCTCCTGAGAAAAGTTATTTCGTATAAATTCTCATACTCAAGTTGTGATAAGTGCTGCATTTGGGTAGTTTGCAAAATATATTTTTGACAAGAAGATACTTGGTACTCGGTACTTACGAAAATGTAAGAGGGGTCAATGGCGCGTTATAGATTTATGGGGCCCATGTACAATCGACCCCCCTATAACACTGCCGATTTTTCTGTTTTATATGAATTCCATGTTGTACGAGTCACTTAGATTTTACAAATACGTGAGCCGTTCACAGCCCGGCACACGTAAAATCTAAGTGACTCGTACAACATGGAATTCATATAAAACAGAAAAATCGGCAGTGTTATAGGGGGGTCGATTGTACATGGGCCCCATAAATCTATAACGCGCCATTGACCCCTCTTACATTTTCGTAAGTACCGAGTACCAAGTATCTTCTTGTCAAAAATATATTTTGCAAACTACCCAAATGCAGCACTTATCACAACTTGAGTATGAGAATTTATACGAAATAACTTTTCTCAGGAGGTAGGTACTGCACATAACCAAAAATTGCAAGTACTCCCAAAGACCTTTCACGCACCTCCGGGAATGCGCGTACCATACTTTGGGAATACACTGATCTATAGAAAAAATTCATTTCACGACTAAAAAAAACAAGTAAAAATTGGATGAAAATTGAATTCGATCTTCTATTTATTGCCAGAATAATGTGTTTATTTGAATTTAAATTTATTATAATATAATGTATTTCATAGAAAAATTGAACATAATGCTGGCTTTTTAGTTTGTTACAATACGATGTTATTGAATCAACTGCATCTTATTATCAAAAAATCATCCGATGATAAATTCATCAGACTCTCATTGAGAGGATCTGAATTTGATTTTCATCCCAAAACGAGTTCTTTTCATGATCTATTTTCTAAGAAGAAGAATTGATTTTAAGTTACAATGAAAAACGAAAAGATCCTCAGAATTGATATGTCAATATTGTCAAGTTTATATTATCTCTTGGTAATTCAGAATTATAGTTTACTTCCGTGCTTTTCATTCAGCTGAATTTTTGATTCGGGACGACAGATTATATTATTGCTTATCACGTCAAAGATAAGAGAACCGATTGAATTCTTTTTCTTTGCTGTAATCGCTTAACGCAATGAACATGTTAACTCTAAATCCTAATTATGGTGAAGGAAAGTAATTAATTAATTTGCTGAAAACTGTTAATAATTAAATTTAAAAAACTATTTAAAAATTTTTACCTGAGATTTAAGAAAATGGATCGGTTTTACGGGGTACAGCAACGCAAGACATAGGCGACCTTTCAAGGGGCCACGGAAAAACTTTCTACGGGAAACTGATTCCCATTTAGGTGAAGAAAATCCGGAAAACTCCACGTGACCAGCCCGTTGGTGAGGTGCAACCCTGACCATCTACCATTGTTGAATTGTTCTATGCACCAGGTCAAGTAGCCCGAGTGGATAGAACCACTAAACAATGATACCCCTGGTATTGGATGGATAGAACCATTAAACTGACCCAGTGAATCTTAAAAAATGAAAAACATTTTAAATTTAGAAAAATAAATTATCAAATAAGTAAATAAATTCATTTTTGAGAATTTTTAATGAATTAAAAACATGTTACATATTTAATTTGCATTTTACAGCGTGCTGCATCTTTACTGTATATTAAATCCAAATATTCAATATAATTTAAAATTATATATAAAGTATTTAATTTTGAATTTTAGATTGATATTTAATTTTATATTAAAAAATTCAAACGATAATTGTATTTGATTACATGTTCAGTAAGTCAGAGAAGAAAAATGTTCAAGAAATCAAGAATGTGAAGTACTTGCTGAGCTCTAGAAGTAGTCTTTTATAGATCTAAGCTGGCAGATTTTTCGAAATTGATTTGACCTACCACCTCCATTTTTATACCACATTAAACTACCGTTTTTCAAATTGATATAGGAATTTTATAGCTCGATAGATAGAAACATTATTATTATATTAAAATATTAATTAATTAAACAAGTTAAATTCGTATTTATCTAAATTCCCTTGAGTTTCGTAAATGGAACAAAATTAAAGAAGTTGGCTAATTGAAACAGAAATTTCTCTATGATTTATAAAAGAAATAGACCTAATTACAAATAAATTTTTAAAAAATTATTTTAAAAATATATCGCGATTACAGTAAAACCTGTGTAAACCGGAATCGCCCGGTACAGAATAGTTTTTCGGTTTGGCAGGTTTCCGTTTTTAACAGGTTAACATAGAAAATCGCTCCGTTCCGAAGAATTATTTTCCGTTTAGGCAGGTTTCCTTTTTATTCAGGTTCCGCTTTGGACAGGTTTTACTGTATTTATTAATTTTTTATGTAGTTTTTTTAAAGGAGTGTAATTTATATAGATGAGAGGTAACCTATTTTCAGACACGCATCTTCTATAACTAAGGAAACGTGAGAATGTGCAGTTTACTCGACGATATAATGCAATAAGTTGTAACAGGAGTAGATCGACATCATTTTTTATATTGCAATCTTGAAGTGACCAATAATGCAATGTAATATCTTAATAAGAAGAAGATATAGAAGAGAGCTCAAATTATTTTATTAAAACATAATCGCATTATAATATTTTATATCAAGTTGAATTATTAATGAACTGAATTCGAATTCTCTATCCATCGATGCAACTTTATCAATCTGGCAGCTATTTGACAAGAATCATTACATGAAACAGCTCGTGTAGACAGCGAAATAAGATTTAAGAGAGAGGAAAGAAGATTCTTATGTCTAGAAATTACTAAAAATTGACTTTTTTAACAGTATTTCACGAGAATTGCCCCGGAAACTGTTAT